TCTAGTTGAAGAAGTCCCTGCCTATGGCAGGGGGGGTGGACTAGGTGACCTTTAGAGGTCCCTTCCAACCCAAACTATTCTATGATTCTAAGTACATGGTATGAGAACATAACTTTGGGACTTTTAAAAAACACAGGAAAAAATGGAAGGAGAAAAAACATTATCAAGAGAATAAGGAGTTCGACCAGGGGAGGAGAGTGAGAGAGTATTGAAAAATCACTGTGGATGTAGCTATGCATTAGTGGGTGTTCATGTAAAATTTGTGTAACCTTCTGCTGCTAAGTTTAATGGTGCTTAGTCATTCAGATTAACAAATAGTTTTATATCATCTCTCTTCCCCTCTTCCCTCCCTTCCCCCAAAACAGAAAGCTGTACTTAGTTGGGCATATCTTTCTATTTAAAAATACAGAAAGTGTAGATTTTTGACGCTGTAGGTTCCCTTTTAATGAAAGTAAGAATGTTTTTGCTTTTTTTTAATCCATACACCCATACCAGATCAAAGAGTAGTTTTCTATCCCTTTGTTAATACCAAAGATTTTCCTATACAAAATAAATTAGTTTCTACCTTTTAAAATGAAATTTTCATGCATAAGTTAATATGAAAAAGCAAGTCTATAATTTTTATAATTATGTTGAATTAAGTAGAATATTTTATTCTTTTTCTATGTTAAGACCAAAAGGAAAAGCTGATGCAAGAGAACAAAGACCTGCAGTTATGCTACCTGAAACATAAGCAACAACTAGATGAACTGAAAAATCACATGAAGTTTTTGACAAAGGTGAACTCTATTTCTGTTTAGAATATGAGCAAATAATCCTATTCTATGTTTTATGCATAGTGCAAATTCTTTTTGAAAGTAAAAGAATACAGAAATATAAGTGTTTATTTATTCATGATATCAAGCAAAATGTCATGTCCAGTGAGAATGCATCTTGTTATCCTGAATGTCTTTCTTCGATATTCATTCACATTTGATAACACCTTTTCACTAAGTATTTCTGTTTCAGGAAAGTGATATTGATGTAGCAGAACTCAGTGAAGCTCTCTTGCTTATGAAGGTAACTTACAAAGAATGAGCATATGGGGGGTTGGAACTAGATCTTTGATGTCCTTTCCAACCCAAACGATTCTATGACTCTATATACTTTGCTTTTATTCTTTTTTTTTTTCTTTTTTTCTTGAAACCCTTTGTTGACCATTACATGTTTTCTACATAGTGCCTGGGATTTGCAAGGGCTGAATTATTTGTGCATCTTTTAGTAGTTAATGCTTCAAGCTCATATGTGTGCTTTTGTCATTTTTCAGTTACAGTGAAGCACAAGGAAAGATGAAAAAATTGCCAGGATGAAATCTAGAGTTATGTAGATAATTCATTATAACATCAAAAGTGAATTAAACCAGATTCACAAGCATTTTTTTAAAAAACTTACTTTTTCTCAGTTAAATTACTTATTGTGCCATCTTGTTCTTCCAATAATGTTTATTAAAAAAAAAATTTTGTGTTTTTATTCTGTAATTTATGGGAGCGTACTATAAGCATGGAAGTTCTAAAATGCAATACAGTGATGCTTAGCAACTTCTCTTTGTTTATTAAAACAGAAAAACAGAAATACCCAGAAAATGTTCTATTTTTTTCTCTTGCACATAAGTTGTAATTTTATTGTTTACAGCAAAATTGAAAATGAAGTGGGGGTGGGGGGAAGAAATCAGTGAAAAAATAAGTTTGCATTAAGTTTCCAGTGTTCTAGTGACTTACATTTTATTTTCTTGAGGAAGTGTTTACTGTAAATAGAATATTCTTTCTGCTACTGAAGTGCAAATGATAATTCTATAATGATAATGAAAAAAAGAAGGAAAAACAAAACAAAAAAAATCACCTAGATGAAAATTAAAACCCCGGTATTAATAACAGAAGCAATGTAGACTTGAGAATAATAATTCAGGTTTTGTACATTCACTGAAGCAGGATTATTAATTATATAAAAGGCAAGTATATTAAGGGGTTTGTATTTTCATTGCATAGACAGGAGTGATTGCTTCTGAGTATCTCGTACATTTTAATTGGTTCCTGACGATCACGAGATTACATTACTGAATACAATCCTGACACTTACTGGTCTACCTCATTCTTATTTTTCGTGTTACCACATGCTCAAAATTTACAGTTATGCTTACTGTCTTATTGTTGTTCCAAAATTATATCCCAGTGTTACATTTAACCAGGCACAAATACATCCAAATATTTTGCAAAAGTTTGTTCTAGTAATTTTTCAAATTTGCTCCAGGTTCAAAAGCAGCAGAAAAATGGGGACCTAATGTTTTTGGAAAAAGTAGAAGATGATACCCGTAAAGATTTAGAACACTCCATGCAGGAGCTGCAGTTAACACATGCGGAAACAGTGCAAGAACTTGAAAAGACAAGGAATATGTTAATTGTGCAGCACAAAATTAACAAAGATTACCAGGTACTAAACTCTACTCACAGTGGAAAATAACCTGATAATAACATTTTAATATTTGTAGCACTGGAATTTGTCATAAGTGAGACTTGCAAATTCAGCAACAAAGCCAGTCTGTTTATAGGTAACCTAACATTTGCTGTTGTTGAAAGTATTGTTTAAAAAGCATGAGATCCAAGTGACTATAATGTTAGTCTTTTAACTCACCCTGATCAGAGCCCTCAAACCATGCCTTCTTGGGATTATCTCTGAGCTCTTATCAGGTCCTCACAGGAAAAATAGTAAGTGTACTTATCAAATAAGCTTCCTTTTCCACAACACGCTGCTTTTACTCTCTTGTGCTGGATTATTGCAGATCATATTTTGACTTTTTGTTCAATAAACCTAAGTTTTAAAATAACAAAATCATTAAAGAAACTATTAGGAACATTGTCCTGAAAGAATAGCTAGTTTGTTTTTCTTAATAATGTTTTTAGATTTTGCTGAAATTGGAATTGATTGCTGTATTGCTGAATTAAAAACTGCTGTTATTTTTGTGTACTCTAAATGTTCTTTCCTCAAATCTAGCTGTATTTTAATTTGTAGCCAAAAACATGTGCAGCATCAATGCAGACAAGCCTCAAAAGTCCTTTTTACATGCAAATTTTTTTCAGACTGAAGTAGAAGCAGTGACACAAAAGATGGAAAGTCTACAGAAAGACTATGAGTTAAAACTGGAACAGTATGTCCATCTTCTTGATATTAGAGCTGCACGCATCCGAAAACTAGAAGGTATCTTTAAAGTATATTCTTCTCTAATTTTTTTTTATATTTTATCTCTTGCAAATTATTGTTGTAAATTTGTTCTTCAGTTGAAACACTTCTCCATTCCTAAAACTAGCAGAAAGGTCAGTTCTTTCATGGAAAATTATCTGTGTGCTGTTTCATTGACTTAAATGATAAAGTTATTAATCAAACAAAATTCAACAAAGCATTTATGCTGCAGCTATTGCTGAATAAGAATAAAACTACCAAACTTAGATTTTTTTATTTTTTTTAAATAAATTGTACATTTATAGTCAACCTCTTATTTTGCTGTTCTATCCTTGCATAATCATTTTGTGTTGCTAAAAATCCCAAAGTCATGGTATAATATACCAACGGAATATTTCAATATGATGAATTTAAATTGCTGTTTTAATGGCTTCAGTTTGTAAAAGGTGCATAGGAAGCCTGAAATAGGATACCTTACAAACCCTGATATCATAACAATTTTCATGTTTTATCTCCAAGTTGCATCCCCTGTACTAAAGGACTGCATGATGATTTATGTCCTAATTTTGTAAGCATTTGTTCACCTCTTGCCACCTATGAGGCCAGGCAACATGTAAAGGTCTTTGCTGATAGTTCCGTCCACTCAAGATATTACAGAGGTTAAAAGTCAGATGTATTCTTTCTTTCCCTAGCAAATTTAGTTCAACTCTACAAAAATACGTCTTAAGTCTGCTACATTTGCATAGTGATACTTATTTTGATCATTGCATAAGACTTCTGAATTTTTGCTTGCTAACTTCCTTGTAATCTGTTATTAATTGTTAGAGTCCTGTGTCTGTTTTTAGGTATATTGAAGCAGCTCCATTGTGGAGGTATTCTTGGTTGTTGTCAGTGTGCTAAATGAGCAGTAGATGTATGATTTCACATGTGTGATTTCTTTTTTTGGTTACACCTTTAAGAAAGTAACGCTGTTAATATAATTGAATTATGCTTTTTTCCTCCCTACTCGGACATTAATTATATTTGATTTTTAAACAAGACGGTCATATTGTAGCTCTATTTTATTTGTTGCAGCCCAACTAAGAGATACTGTCTATGGTACAAAACCACGTAAATCCAGACCAGAAATATTGCCGGGTGATCCAGTGGATGAATTTGATGAAACTTTACATTTACAAAGAGGAGAGAACCTTTTTGAAATTCATATCAGCAAAGTGATCTTCTCTTCTGGAGCTATGCGTGCTTTTGGTGACCATGAACCTGCAACTTTTTGTACTTACGCATTCTATGACTTTGAACTTCAGACAACCCCAATAGTTTATGGGCGTACCCCATCATATGACTTCACTTCTCAGTACCTTGTGCAGGCTGATAACTGCTTCTTGCACTATATACAGCAAAAGAGTATCACACTTGAGGTTCATCTTGCATATGGCACAGATTATGAAACAGTTGCTGCATGTCAACTGAAGCTCCACGAAATCTTGGAGAACAGTGGGAAGTTCTACAGCACAGCAAATTTAGTTGGTAATTAACATATCAAAAAGTATTCTGATTGATGCAGTATTGTAAGTGACAATTAAGTAACGGTATTTGGCCAACAATGAATTCGTGTATTACTATTTTAAAAGAAAAAAAAAGAGATTTACACAACATGGTATTTCCTGTTGGATGTGCAGCATGTTCTGGTGATTCTACCTACAGTTGTGAGAAAGCTCTGACTTCGCAGAGTGCAATTTTGCCCACAATGGCTGAGGACAAAGATGGTGTTAATATAGTGATCCTGAAGTACGTGACATTAGAAGTATGTGGCATGCTGGAAATGGCATTAGAGAATCTTGTCTGAAAAGAGCAAGTGATTCTTTGTCTTGTATAAAGGTTACTTGCAAAGTGTTACTACTACGCATGTAAAGAATTTTAGTAAAAGATAGTATCACCTTACTCAACAGAATTATACAAAAACAGCATGGAGAAAAGTAGTTAGTAGAGCAGTGTACTTGATTGCATTGTAGTATTATTCATATGTTAGAATTTCTCTGAATACTGTAGAGAAGACATTTTTAAATGACTGATACTTTTTTTCATTTTGCTTTATTTTATGTATTGTTAATTGTGTTTTAGTTGTTTAATGCAAGTTCCTTTCATCCTCCAATTTCTCTGTTTGACAAAATATACATTAAAAACAAAAACATTTCTGCATTATAAGACTATCAAACATCAGTGCATTATATCTGGCCCAAATGTCATACATACATCCCCTCATTCCTTACCAATAAATAAATGAAGAAATGGTTACAGTGGTTGTAATTTAAACTGGTAAGTCAGAGGTCTTCATATAATAGTCGTAAGGCATCAAAAAGGTGCAAATGATGGTGATTACAGTTAATAATATTTTGTATAGTAGCATAATCTATGGGGGAGTTAGTTTAGGTTTTGTGCAAATGTTAGGTTAGGTTTTGTGCATTTTTTTTTCCTTTTAATTTAATTCATTGTTTTAAAATAATTTTAAGATAACGCGGACAAGCCTTTTTTAAGAAGTACTTAATATTCTGTGCTGCTTACTTTTTCTTTTAGAAGTATTTTGTCAGATCAGTATATATAGAGACCTCTAACTGCCCACTTTTGTCAAAAATCTCGTTTAAGAAGCCATTATAAAGTGGTATTTTTGCCAGTAATTTAAACTGCATACCACTTTATGGGGCATTTCCAACTGTTGACATACAAAACTGACCTAAGCTTTATTTGCCTTAAAGAGATTAAAATAATGAACTTGACTTGACTTTATAGCTTGGATAATAAATATTGCAGATTACAATATAAAAAAAATGCTCATGTTTCAGTTTTGGATCATACATGTAGAGCCAGAGGAGGAGTTTCTGTTTCTAACATGAACTGCACATTTCATGTCACAAACACTGTCATAATGCATAGTCACAAGATAACTAATCTTTAATTTGTGGTGTTTCCTAGCTTTTGACTTAAGTAATTTAATGTTGAAAAGAAAATTAATGCAATCCCTTATGTATTTATTCCTTAGGAATCAAAGGAAACATTCAAAATTACGGTACCGTAGAATACGGGATCAGGTTACGAGTTCCTATAGATCAAGCTATTAGTCTCTACAAAGAGAGGTCAAAGGCTCTGGGGTATATAACATCCAATTTTAGGGAACGTGAACGACCATCTCAGGTAGGTTTGGGTTTGTACTTCATAGTTTTGATAGAATAAACTGTTCAAAATTACTTTCTCAGTTCAAATAGTTTACTTCAAGTCTTGATATGTTAAAGGTTCTAGAACTGGAAAATATCTTTAGCAATTGAATGACATGTTTTTCATGTAAAGAGATAAAGAACCAGTTGAACTATAGCTTTCCTGAAGAGACAAAGTCTTAAACTTCAGTTTGTCACTAGAATATTTGAAATTATTATATTTAGTTTTTCTTAACCTGTAAGTGCCAGATTTTCTTAACATTTTGTTAGTACGATATTCAGGAATGTTAAACCAACTGGGTGTCAGATCAGTATACCAGGTGAAGTGGTTGTTCAGAAAGGTCTCAAAGTTCTTAATGTTTGAGTATTATGAGATTGAGATTATTTCACTTTTTTCTTTTTTTTTAGCTGGATAATGAAGAGAATTTTGATAATATAATGCACTGTATAATCATGTTTAAATAAGAGTCACAGAAAAAGAAGGGACTTTGAGATATCTTTAGCAATTGTTTAAGAAATAAAAACAATCAGGTTGAAATGTGTAAGTTAAAACACTTTAGAGTCTCTAACAGGCCATTTTTTTACCTATAGCTGTTTAAATTACTGTAAGTCTGGAGTAACTTTAATGTTTTATATTACTCCATAATGTAAATTTATATTGTACTGGAATCTCAATGGATTCCATGATGTAATCTGACAAGTATGTTTAGTGTGTGAATTCTATTAAAGGTTAGCGTAGGCATTTTCAGAAAAACTTCATGTTTGATAACATTGTAACATTTGCTTTAAATCTGATTTTTAAAGGAATCAAAGGTATTTTTAACTAGCTCAAGAAATCTGGCCGTTGTTAAATGCCAAAATCTGTTATTTAGTTTTCTCTATTTTTGATTATGTTATTTCTAGCTGTGTTACCAGTCCAAACACAGTTGAGAGGTAAGGCATGTGGAACAGAGCGTTTTGTTGTAATTATTGTGAAATTGCAAATTCAAACATGGCAACTGAAATATACTGATTATACGGGAGAAAATAAAATAAGAAAAATGGCAGAAATGAAGAGCAGCTTCTACAGAGCTGTGTGGAACACCACTGTTTTCAGAAATGTTTTGTGGCAGAAACTAAAAGTCATATAGCTATAGCAGATGGTTACATTATGTTAAGGGTTCTGTCCATCTGCAGCTGCAAAAGTAACTTCAGTTGTGCGTTCCAAAATTTAAGCTTTCACTAGTTAAACATACATATAAAATTGTGTCCTGTATAGCTACAGAAATCATGGAAACATGAAGTGTACATAAACTGCTATAATTTTTTTTTTCCAGTTCTGTATGTAGCCAGAAATAGTAGTCTTAAGGTTGCATATTAAGGACTTAAACTGTCATGTTTGGTTTTCTTGTTAACTATTTCAGTGTGGATTATTTAATCAAAATATTTAACATTTTATCACAAAAAATCAAATTGATACATGTTTCCCCATATACCAGTGGACAGAACTCTGGCTTCCACAAGCAAGATAATTAATGAAAATAGATGTGATATATTAGGGTAAAAAAGGAGAGCCTTTTGAGGTCAATCTAGATGAGGATTACTCATTTCAGGTAGTCATGTTATTTGTTTTCTTCTTATTCTTTAATTTTTATTAAAATGAATTTCCCAGTTTGCCAGCTATGGGTTCCACAGTATGTACAAGCCATGCTGATAGGTAATTCAAAAAATTTGTGATATCATTGAGTTTTTTGATTTATTTTTAATTTCTTCCAAATATTTATTATGCTATTCACATGCTGATTTCTAAATTTTGTAAATTGTTTATGTAGGTAAAGGTTTAGGAGGAGGAAGAAACCAGAGGAATCTGTGGTGCAATTTTAATTATGGAAAAGTATATATATAAAAGGGACTAAAGTTATAAAAATTTCCTGACACAGAATAGCTGTCAAGACCAGAATCCTTAACTTTAAAGTGGTACTAGATATGAATCACTCTTAAAACTGTGATCTTCACTGCTTTGTAGATAATCAAATGACAAGTAGATCATAAAACTTTAGAAGAATAAAGCAAACAATCACAGACCTGAAAGGATTAACCTCTTATTTCCTTATACCAACAACCCAAGAGAGATGTCATATTTATAGAACAAGTAATATTTTGACATATAAAATTAAACAGTAGTTGGAGTGTCATTGAAATAATCAGTTATTTGTTCTATTTATATAGTTCTTAGAGTTTGCCAACATAAGAATTCTAATGTTTTTAATTTAACTTCTTTTTCATTTAAAGCAGCAGATACTCAAAACTGCCCAAGTCAGCACTTCAACAGATGGCAATTTAAATGAACTCCACATTACAATAAAATGTTGTAACAGTCTACAATCCCGAAAAAAACGTCTTCAGCTAAATCCTTATGTTGTCTACAAGTTCTTTGATTTTGCAGACCATGATACTCCCATCATTCCTAGCAGCAACAACCCACAAATAGATGACCATATGTGTTTCCAAGTGCCAATGAATGCAGATTTAGACCGATACCTAAAATCAGAATCCGTAACCTTTTATGTATTTGATGATGGTGAAACGGAAGAAGGTGCTTATGTAGGGAAAGCCAATGTGCCTCTTATTTCTTTAGCACATGACAGATCTATCTCAGGTAAGAATTAGAGCTCTTTAAACTTAACAAAATCTTCACTTCCTGTTTTGTATCTCTTTAAGAATCAAACTAAAGAAAGGCTCTTCAGAGGGATCTGGACAGGCTGGATCGGTGGGCTGAGGTCAGTTGTATGAGATTCAAGAAGCTCAGTGCTGGGTCCTGCACTTGGGTCACAACAACCCCATGCAATGCTACAGGCTTGCTGAAGAGTGGCTGGAAAGCTGCCTAGCAGAAAAGGACCTGGGGGTGTTGGTCGACAGCCAGCTGAACATGAGCCGGCAGTGTGCCCAGGTGGCCAAGAAGGCCAATAGCATCCTGGATTGTATCAGAAATAGTATGGCCAGCAGGACTAGGGAAGTGGTTGTCCCCCTGTGCTTGGTATTGGTGAGGCCGCACCTTGAATACCCTCACTACAAGAAGGACGTGAAGGTGCTGGAGCATGTCCAGAGAAGGGCAACAAGGGTGGTGAAGGATCTAGAGCACAAGTCTTATGAGGAGCGGCTGAGGGAACTGGGGTTGTTTAGCCTGGAGAAAAGGAGGCTGAGGGGAGACCGCATCGCTCTCTACAACT